CAGAGATCGGAGCCACAACAGCCACAACAGCGTCAGCAGAGATCGGAGCCTCAACAGCCACAACAGGGGTTCAGGCTTCCAGGCACTATGCGGGGTTCAAGGTAGATCTGTCTGGATACAGCGATGCGTCGTATGCCCCACATGGGGGTAAAAGTTTCGGCTGTAGTCTGGTAATGATCGGCAAGACTCCCGTGACGTGGAAAGCGGGAAAACAACCGATAGTATCCATGTCGGTCTGCGAGGCGGAATTACTCGAGGGATCCAACTGCGCTCTGTTGGTACAGTCGACAGAAGCTATGTTGAGAGAAATTCTACCTGCTACCAGCACTCCCACGTTGTACATCGACAACCAGGCTGCGAGCAACTTACTCAATGGTTCCTCTGGGAGCTGGCGGACGAGGCACCTACGGATCCGCCATGCCTACGTGATGGACCGCGTCAAGAGTGGAGAACTCCACGTCCAGCACCTGGCTGGAGAAGACCAACCTGCAGATCTACCGACGAAGCTGCATTTCAAGGCGAGGCTGCTACACCTACTCGGGACCTGGGGGATGATAGGCCTGGCCGGGTTGAATGAGAAGAAGGGATTGCAGTGCTTGAAGTTGGGATGCGTGTTTTTGCTATTGTTGGCAGTTCAGTCTTTGGCGGTGTCGGCTGCCAAAGAGCCTCTTCCAACGGTTGGAACCATGGAGCTGTTCGTGCTGCTGATTCTCACGTGTATTTCTGCAGTGGCTCTGTGGGAAGCCGGAAAGGCTTTGGGCAGTTGGGCCTATCCGAGGCTCTTTGGGTCGAAGCGTGAAAGAAAAATCCGCAAGCTGAAGGAGCTCGCAAGGATCGCAGCTGAGGCTGAGATCGAGAAGTGGATGGACGAAGATGAAGCTCCCTCAAGTGAGAGAGTCCTTCAGGTGGCCCGAGATCGAGCAACAAGGACGGCGACCACAGCTATGAGTGGATCTACAAGGCCGAGGACCACTTCCCCGTTGCCCAGTCCTACTACCGAGTCGAGCCCGAGAAGCCCAACTCCAACGATGAGACCTACGGCCCCAATGGGAGAGTCGAGAACGAGTGTGTTTGGCGACACAAGGCCGGCAACACCACCGTTGCCGGAAGCTTCTGGTCAATTTGATCGTGAGCGAGTCGTTCAAGATGCTTTAGGCCTCATGACAGTCCAACACCTACGGGATGGATTGGCCGCTGAGGGCCTTCCTGTGAGTGGTGTGAAGTCAGATTTGGCCCGAAGACTTGGGAATCAGCTTGGTGACGAGCCATCACCAAGCCACTTGCCTACGACTCGCCAGCTCCGCTACGTCTTGTGGACCTGGAGGCACTTTCAGCTGTCAGGGCGGACCCAGCTTTTGTGGGTCAACTTGGCAACCAGAGCAGCCGTCTCAGAATGGCTGGCACGATGGAACAGAAACTGAAGGCGACCGGCTTCCTGCAGAAGGTGTCACGAGCCGCAGGCTAGTGACAAGGAGGAGTGATGATGTGAGCGGTCTGGAAGCCAGTGTCTTCAGTGATTGCCAAAGCATGTTGGCTTGAATGCGCGAGAACTTGAGACCGAGAGTAACATCCCTGCAGCTTGTACACTAGGGCAGGTAGATGTGCTCTTTGCACTGTAAGTCGTTTAACTTACAACGGCAGCTTCTTGTATAGACAAAGTGAAGTTACTTTCGTTCGAGAGCGTGTGATGCCCGAAAAATCAATTCGATGCCATGCCCGCTTAGCCTGGATTCTCATCACGATGACAACGCCTTACCTGCACAACCCGGATTCCAGTGCTCCACAGGTTATGAGCCCAAGCATTACGCTTGGTGGGCCTACAGGAAGCGGCATGGCGGCCCAAGGGCCGAACTACGGTGGCGTGGATACTGGTGGAGCCGGTGGTCCTACACCTGAGGGAGGCCAGGCCAGGAATCGAACTATGGCTGAAGGGCAGTCTTTGCTGAATGGGGTGATTGGTTCTCAAAATCCGATCGCTCCAGGAAGCAGAGCTGTCACGACGGGTTCGGAAGTTTTGGAGCAGCCAAGGGGTAGCGGATTGCCCCGCCGCACAACTTCTTCGACTTCGAGCAGGCCCAGAGTGGAGTTTCCAGATGGATCTGGTGCAGTGAACACTGGACAGCGTGTGGATGCGACCACTGGGTCGGCTCAGGACGTAGCAACCGGATCTGGCGTGGACGCTGGGCAACATGTGGGTGCGACTACAGGACCGCCTCAGGACGCAGCAACCGGACCTGGCGCGAATACTGGGCAAAGTGCGGAAGCGACGACTCGATCGGCTCAGGACGTAGCAACCGGATCTGGCGCGAACACTGGACGGCGTGTGGAGGCGACCACTGGATTGGCTCAGACTGTGGCAACCGGACCGGACGCGAACGTACGAAGGTTTCAGGGTGAGACTATGGGGATTCGTAGCAGGCCAGGTCAGCAACAACCTCAGCACACCACTGCAGCCCAGCCTCAGCAGTACAACATCAGCACACCACCGCAGCAACCGGCAGCGAGTCCTGAGGCGACAGCGCACTTCCTGCCCGAGGGTGCCAATGCCTTGGTTGCTCTTCATGCTAGGGCTTCACGGTTTGTGAGAGCCGAGACCATGGATGGGAGCCACAATGCAGCTGCGGTCGAGGTGGGTGAGGTTGCAGATGCCAACGGTGACCAGATGGTTTGGTTTACGAGGATACGGGGAATGCTTCAGCGCGGATTGGAGTTTGTACGACCTCTACCCTCGGCCTCGCCTACTTCCTGGTATTCTCAATCCCCTACATGGTCCCTAGCAGCAACCCCTACGTTCAATGCTCCCGAAGCTCCTCGACTACCTGAACAACAACCTCGATTAGGAGCAGCAAGCCCAGGTGATCACCGGGAGACCAGTCTTCTACGGGATCTTTGCAGCCAGAAGTCGTGCAGGAGGAGGTGCGGAAGGCTGTGCAACAAGCGATGCAGAGCAGAGACACCAAGGTGAACGAACTGCAGGCCGAGAACATGGAGTTGAAGCAGCTCCTCTTGGCAATGATTGAAGCAAGCCCCAGCACGGGAGGAGTTGGTGGTGGAACAGGGCCTTCAGTCGAGGGCAACCGTGGCGCTCCAATGGAACGTGGAGGAGTCACTGGCCCGCCTGAGAGGCAACATCTGCCGGAACGAGGGGATCCCCGTGCTGACCGTGAAGGTGCAAATCGAGTTTTTGGTGCTCCCCCTGGTCTTCCTGTGCCATCTCGACGAGTCCCAGGTGATCTTGGAAGACAGGGAGGTGGGCAAGCTTCTGGGTTTGAGGATGCTAGCATACCGGCAGCTAGACCTGATGGTGGTGACTCTGAGGGTGTTACAGGAAAGCTGTATGGGGCTATCGGGGCCGCTTCGCCAAGGAGGGCCGATGCCACCATCTTGGACCCAGACAAGGATGACAAGAGCCCAGCGGCTCACATGGGCCTTCTGGCCCAGGGCATACAGCAACTTCAGCAGCTCCAACTCAAGAAGGACACCCAGGACCCGGAGCTGTTGAAGGGCGCCGTGATGCTCCCGGCCTTGCCAGAGCCCTACCAGGACTCCAGTGCGGTACTGTTCTTGGAGTGGATCTATGAAACAGGGCAGCTGGTGGGGTCGATCACGGACAAGGCGACGAGCTGGTGGAACAACAACCTTGAGTTGGCGAAGGAGGCGTACTACAAGTTCCAGAATGAGTCGCCGCTTAAGCGCCTGTCCATTGCGGTGGGCGACGATGATGTCGTGGGTGGGGAAAAATGGGCCCGGCTGGAGAAGAGGGTGATGGCCCTCCTTTTGGCTTCTATGAGTCCCAGTGTCAAGGCCGAGATTACCATGTTGCGCATTGATCGGGTGAAACACTGCCTGTACAAGCTGTACACAATCTATGCCCCGGGTGGAGCAAGTGAACGGGCGAGCCTGATGAAGCAGCTGGAGTACATCCAACCCCAGAACAACATCATCGACATGATTGCTGCTCTTCGGCGGTGGAAAAAGTTGATCGGGAGGGCGGCTGAGATGGGAGTGTCACTTCCTGATGGGAGCGTCCTGCTTGTGGCTGTTGAGGCGGCCATTAAACCCATCGCCGAGGCCCAGAAGGATGTCAACTTTAAGTTGAATATGGCCAAAAGCGAGCTCAGCCTCCCCTATAAGCCAGCTTTGTCCTCAGTGTTGACGTACGCCGACCATGTTATTGCGGAGCTCCAGCAGGTGATACCGTATGGCAAGGATCAGAGTGCCAAGCTCAAGGGTGTGACCACGGACAACCGCGCGCCCTCGTCAGCGGCTACTTCACCAACGGGTAAGGGCCAGAAGCAGCAGTCACCTTGCAAGTTTTGGTCCACGGACGAGGGATGCCGGAGGGGGTCAAATTGCAAGTACGCCCACAACTTCGCGTCGAAGGAGGACAAGAAGGCGAGATGCTGGACCTGTGGCAGCGTCAACCACAGGCAACAGGAGTGCCCGACGAAGTCTGGAGGAAAGAAGGGGTCAAAGGGAGGTGGAGAACACCGTGCTTCAGGGAACTCAACGACATCAACTACGTCAACGGCACAGATTGCGACCCTGAACAACCCCCAGCCCTCAACGATTATCCCGCCCGCCTACGGCCTCCACTTCAGCAACTTCTACGCTTGAGAACCCCTCGCCGACGCACGCCCAGGTGACAACGACATCTACTACCTTGGGACCCGCTTCTACACAACCGGCGTCGGGGTCTAGTGGTTCTTCCTCAGCTGCGTCTACAGTGTTGTTGTCAGAGCAGAGCAACAATGGGGAGATAAGGGAGTTGGCGGAGCAGTTCCTTGCGAAGATCAAGAGGTTGGCACCCTTGCAAGCTGTTACGGACAACGCAGTGGTGGACCTGGAGCTCTTGCTACGCTCCCAAGGCCTTGGGGAGAGCCATGGCATGGCTTTGCTGGACAGCGGGGCCTCACATGCCTATAGAGCTCCCAAAACGCTTGAGGAGACCAAGGAGGCGAAGCAGGTCAAGGTGCAACTTGCTGATGGACGCCATGTATTCCTTCGGCAAACCAAAGGGGGCACATTGCTGGCGGAGGACGACAGCGGTGGAACGATCCTTCCTTTGGGAAGCCTGGTGAGTTCCTTGGGATGCAAACTGGACTGGAGCAAGCGAAAGGGCCTTCGCATAACGCACCCCGAGCACGGCTTGTTGCCAACAAAGCTGGTAGGCAACACCCCAGTCCTCCGCGAGGCCGAAGCGCTCCAGCTGATCGCGGACCTGGAACAGCTAGAGCTTGACAAGCTAGAGAAGAACAACACGGACGGAGTCCTCAAGATGATGTCTGCTGAGGAGCCTCAACTTACATGGTTGGATCATCTGGAGGAGTTTGTGCAAAAGGGCGAACGAGCTTGTCTGAGGAGGATGCTCTTGGACGAGGAGTCCCCTCTGGATGCAGTGGCCGAGGCGGAGGTTGTGAACCTGATCGGTGTCGATGATCGCCTCCTATTGTCCGATGAGGCGGGTGCCCACTACTTGAAGTCGCTCCCCATCAACAGGGCTATGAGGAAGCGGTTACTGAAGACAAGATGGGTGGTTCATTTGTACAATGGGGATGAAAAGGGCGAGGAGTTTGCCAGAGCCGAGTCGGAGGATGTGACGGTGATCCGAATGGACGTGCGAGACTCCAAGGCCTATGACCTCAGGACATATGGACCAGCTGCGAGACTGCTTCTGTGGGCAGCGTCCAGAGGCCAGATCGAGGGCATCATCGGCGCGCCCCCCAGAGGTGCCGAGCATCCTTGTGCGCACCTTTCTTCTGTATGGAAGCCCCCACCTGGCATCCTCTGTGGACGAGCTCGGCATGGATCAAGTTCAAAGACGAGATGCGGTTCCTCAAGTACCACTCAGTGGGAACACCAGGCAACATGTACTTCATGGCGTCCTCATTGGGTTTGTCGGATGGGATGGACATTGAGGAAGCAGCCATCATGAGCCTGAACTATGAAACCCCAGCTTCTTCTTGGCCGGTGCCTTTGAAACTTGGTATCGCCCAGGCCAGACTCAACTGGCGCCGCAGCGACCTACGAAGGCATGAAGCGACCTTGTGCAAAATTGTGGGCCCCCGGGAACTCAATGCAAAGGATCTTGCCTATTGGGAAACCCACGTACGCAACAACCACATCCCCTACGATCGCCGGTGCCAGACCTGTGTCCGGGGAAGTGCAACAGGAAGGGCGCATCGACGATGCTTGACCCCGAGCGCCTACACGTTGTCCTTGGATATTTGCGGCCCTATGAGGACTCGAGGGGAATCCCAAGAAGGCAAGAAGTTCCGGTACTTGTTGGTTGGGGCTTATTCACATCCAAGGCTGGATCTTCCCAGGGACCACAAGATGCCTGCAGTCGAAGAGGAAGATGACGTCGAACCGGAGTTGGACCCCTTTGAGGAGGAGGACAAGGCCGACGATCCACCGGAGGAGGAGGATGAAGAGCAGAAGGCCCTCAATGAGAGGTTCAAGCGGATCTACAAGGACATCGGTGACGACATTGAGTACCAGACGCTCAATTTTGCGGTCCCAATGACATCCCGCACATCCAAGGAGGTGCGGGCGAAGATCCAGCACATCTATCTTCAACTCCGCCAGCATGGGCTACCTCTTGTGCGAATACACTCCGACCGAGGCTTGGAGCTCAAGGCCAAGGAGACCCGAAGCTGGATGGCAGACAGGGACATCTTGGCGACTACTGGGGAGAGCCAGCAGCCGCAGCAGAACGGACGAGCTGAGGCTTTGGTCCGGGAGATCAAGCGCCGCGTGAAGGTCCTACTCAGGGCCTCGGGCCTCCCAGCAACGTGTTGGCCGGTGGCAGCTGAGTTTGCAGCAAGGCGACAAAGGGATTTGGCCCTAGGGAACTACGAGGACAAGGACCTCGCCTTTGGAGCCCCGACGCATGTGAAGTACAAGCGCTTCGGTGAAGGCGGACGATATGACCTACTGGAGCGATGGAAGGAGGGCTTGTTTGTGGGCTACTCCAATGATGTGAAGAGCGGCCGTGTGGTACGTCATGGAGATGGTTCCTACACGACTTCAGTCCACATCAGACCCTACCTGGTGGATTCGGATGATCTGGTGCAGCTTGGACCCCATGAGGTTGAACTTCCACTACCGGAACGGAGGATTAGGGGAAAGGCCACTTTGGCCAAGGCCTTGTGGACGCCAACAACGACATCGACAACCTCGCGAAATCGTTCCTCGACAACAACCAGTTCCGGCCCGAGCATGTTGTTGAGTTGTGGAAATACCTCAAGGCCAAGGCCAGACCAACCTCAAGAACCACCCAAGGAGAAGGCCTTCAATGGTTGATTGGCCAGTACACCTACGGAAGCCAATGTGGGATTGTGAATGACACGTACCTCCACCCCGCAGCAACCACTTACTTAGTGCGAGCCTTCAAGGAGATGACTGGGAGGGACGACTTCACGGCCTTGCTCCTCACCGAGAATGTGGGCATGAAGTGCCACCGTGATGTTCACAACAATGGGGCCCGAAGCAACTGGCTACTTCCTTTACAACAATGCGATGAAGGTGGAGGTGTATGGATGGAGTCCTCTTCCGAGGCCTACAGCTACGACGATGAGTGGCGTGAATTGCCAAAGGGAGGATGGAGAAGAGGCCGTGTTCATGAACTACAACCTGGCGTTCCTTTGGAAATCAACCCCAGGCGCTATCATGCCACAGAGCCATGGACCGGAACGAGACTTGTGATCACAGCCTACACCCCAAGGACTACAAGAATGAAACCTGATACTCATGAGACCCTCTGTGAGTTCGGCTTCAACCCACCTCCTCTACTACCTCGTGTACCTGATCAACTACAACAGACAGTGCTGAAGATGTTGACTATGACTGAGGCCAAGGATGAACCCGAGGCGGTGATGTTTTTGGTCAACGAGGTCGAGGAGGAGAAGCGCGAAAAGGCAAGGGATGTCAGCAGGGAACTACGGCAACTACAAGATGATGTGTTGAACCGTCTCAAGGAAAGGCGTGAGTGGCTGCGCGAGTTCCTGGCTGAGGAGGAGATCCTTGCTGAAGAGCTGAATATTGTGGGCGAGGCCATCAATGAGGAGATTGAGGGTGTCAATGGTGCAGTTCGCGACCTTATCAAGGACGTGGAGGAGCAGATCCAGAAGACCGAGGACAAGTGCCACAGCTTGTATCTGAAGGTGGCCAATGTCAATGATGACAAGGAGATTGGGGACATCGAGGAGTATTTGTCCAATCTCAAGAAGGACCTGGACGTCACGCTGGATGTTCCGCTCGACCAAGTCAGGCGCAACTTGGACAAATGGGTCGATCCCTTGAGGAAGGAACTCGCGAACCTCGAGGAGAAGACGGACGCGATTGAGCGACGACCTATAGCAGAGGCCAGGGCACTGGAACGCGAGGGGAAACTTATCCTGATTCCGGGGAAGGTCGTGTGCACAGTCAAGCCGCCACCCCCACCAGAGACAGTGGCCCCAAAGGAGCAGCAGCCACGCTGGAAGCGCAAGGCCAGGGTGGTGATATGTGGCAATTATGCTGGACAATGGCACGACCCAAACGACCTCTTCGCGGCCGGAGCAAGTGCCGAAGGACTACGGCTAGCTCTCGCTCTTGCAGTTGCTATGTCCTGGAGTGTGGCCTCTACGGATGTGTCTGCGGCCTTTTTGCAGGCGCTATGGCCAACGAATAGGCCAACCTACGGAGTGCTGCCGCCAAAGGTTCTCCTGCAAGCGGGTTTGGTGGAACCGGAGGTGGTATTCATCGTGAAGCGGGCGCTCTACGGATTGCGAGAAAGTCCTGCGCTATGGGCGGCTCACAGGACAGAAGTCCTCAAGGAGCTGGTGGTGGAAACTGGAGATGGGCGGATCTTCCTGAAGCAAATGATGACGGACAGCGAGCTGTGGATGATCCTGGAGGAGCCCAAGGCGGGTGGCCAACCAAGCCTGAAGGGCATCCTTGTGACTTATGTGGATGATATCCTCTACCTGGCCGACAACCCGGTGATCAACCTCATACATGGAAGGATCGGGGCAATCTGGCCCTGTTCTCCCTTGGAGTATGCGACGGACGGCCTGAGGTATTTGGGGATGGAACTCAAGCGAGAGGAAGGGTTCTTCACCCTCTCTCAAGAAGCCTACATCACCAATCTGGTGCGCTTGCATGGTTTGGATATTGATGTCAGTGCGGGCCTTCCTTGTCCCAAGGAGTGGATTCAGGAGGGTGAGGCAGAGGCAGAGGAGGAGAACTACAGTTCTTCGGAGCTGATGATGGCTCAGAAGGTTACTGGAGAATGCCTCTGGTTGGCTTATCGTACACGCCCCGACATCCTCTACGCCACGAACTATATGGCCGCAATGACGACCAAACGACCTGTCAAGGTGTACCAGATCGGTCTCAAGGTGATGTCCTACCTGAACGCCACTGCGGGCTTGAAGTTGCAGGTCGAAGCTACAGCAGAAGCCGAAGTCACAACAACTACAACAGCTACAGCAGAGACCGAAGCCACAACAGCCACAACAGCTTCAGCAGAGATAGGAGCCACAACAGCCACAACAGCTTCAGCAGAGATCGGAGCCACAACAGCCACAACAGGGGTC